CGATAAGAGTGCTTCTCTCGATTGCTGCTGTGCACAATCTTGAGATTCACCAAATGGATGTCAAAACGACATTTTTGAATGGTGAATTGGAAGAAGAAATATACATGGAACAACCTGAAGGGATTGTTGCACCTGGACAAGAGAGAAAGGTGTGTAGATTGATCAAATCCTTGTACGGACTGAAACAAGCTCCGAAACAATGGCATTTGAAATTTGATGACGTGATGTTGACAAATGATTTCAAAATCAACGAATGCGATTAATGTGTTTATGTCAAGAGTACATCAAATACATTTGTGATTGTATGTCTATATGTAGACGCTATGTTGATCATAGAGAGTAGCCATGAAGTGATCATGGATACGAAAAGAATGTTGAAGAGAAATTTCGACATGAAAGATATGAGTTTGGCTGATGTTATTCTCGGAATAAGGATTATCAGCACCCAAGATGGAATTGTCTTGTCACAATCTCATTATGTAGAGAAAGTGCTCAAGAAATTTGATACCTATGACAGTGCACAGTCTAGGTGTAAGACACCCCTTGATCTCAGTATAAATTTGGAAGTCAACAAAGGTCAACCAGTGGCTCAGTTGGAATATTCACGGATAATAGGGAGTTTGATGTACTTGACGAATTTTACATGACCAGACTTGGCCTATCTGGTGAATAAGTTGAGCAGATTTACGAGCAATCACAGTCATGAGCACTGGAATGCTCTGAGAAGGGTACTTAAGTTCTTGAGGTATACCCTTGAATACGGGCTAAAATACTCGAGATATCCAGCCGTACTTGAAGGGTACTGTGATGCAAGTTGGATATCAGATTCGATAGATTCTCGCTCCACTAGCGGATATGTTTTCTGTATTGGAGGAGGTGCAGTTTCGTGGAAATCCACAAAGCAAACATGTATAGCTCGGTCAACGATAGAATCAGAATTCGTCGCTTTAGATAAAGCTGGTGAAGAAGCCGAGTGACTTAGAAATTTTTTATCCGATATTCCATGTTGGGATAAGACTTTGCCACCTGTGATGATTCATTGTGATAGCACACTACGTCAATTGATCACAAATGGTATTATTTCCATTTGATCAAACGGTAAGTCTATACATATACGTCGTAGACATAATATCGTACGTCAATTGATCACAAATGTTATTATTTCCATTGACTATGTGAAGTCTAAGGAAAATTTGGATGATCCTTTGACGAAAGGATTGAAAGAGATCAATTGGCAGTTTTGCTAGAGGAAATGGGCTTAAAAATCCACAATGTAAAGAATGATCATAGTGGTAACCCTACCATGCTGAATAGAGATCCCACATGGTTCAAAGGGAAAACTAAGCTATGAAAATTCAGTCGAGCACTTGGAACATATGAATGTCCAAAGCTATTCCCTAGAGCACACCAAGTGCAAGATTACCTGTTGATTGTGGTAAGGGTAAGTCATTTGGACTTTTAGTGAATCCCTAACCTTGTAAAGGTGGAGTATTACATGATATTCTTGATAGACAGGTCACCTATATAAGTGTGAAGTGTGGATCGCTTCAAATGTAAACACTTATGAATCCATTGTGTTGTCCATGGCCAAAACAGACACAACGATAAAACGGAATGGAGTTAAGACTCTATTGTGTGAATGTCATTGTCTCGGTGTACACTATGGAGGAATAGTTCAATGCATTATGTCCACTAGACCGCCAGTGCATCTGATGATGTTTACTAATAAAGGTTCAAAGCCAAAAGCTACATTTTTTGATGCAATAGAGTTTTGTGAGGATTGATTACAAGAATCTGTATACATTAAATTTTCACTCATGTGGGGGATTGTAAGTAATTTGAGTGAAAATAATGTTAGTGGGCCCATACCCCATCATCTTACATGCCTTATCTTTTGTTGTATCTGATAATTTCACATGCCTCATGTTCTCCATGTTATCTTTCCTTGGTTTGTGTGATGGCCATATGGCAAATGGCTAATTTGAATCTCATTGCTATCTAAAAATAGGCTTCGGTACAAATGAAGAGGAGTACAGAGAAAAAGAGAGGAAAAACGAGGAAAGAAATAGAAAGAGGAAGGAAAGAAAAATTTATGTCCAAATATCGGATATAAAAATATCAAAAGAACAAAACAAGTGATATTTTTATTTGTTTTAAGTGCTCAATTCTGGATTCCGTTCCTGTTCGCCGGAGCTCGTAAATCTGGTGTGCTACAGATTTAGAGACGTTTTCCGTTGTAACTTTGGGGAAGTTACGCCTAAATCGTTACCTGACACACGAGGCGTATTCTTCTTGCGGAAAGAGTTTTACTCGCCTCGGCTAAAATCTTTCCGTTTTTCAGTTGTAATTTATTTTTTAAGTTCAATTGTAATTTTCTATTTTTAGATTATTTGTAAGAACTGAAAATTACTTATCAGTTCGTAGGATTCCCGTGTAATTTTACACATTATTTCCAACATAGGATATATAATTGTTGTTTTGAAAAACGTCATTATTTTTAATATAATTTTAGTTGTAATATTGTAATCACATCTCATAACTCTAATATATAAAAGTTCTTTAAAGAAATTAAAAATGATCCAACAAAAAAAGTATAATAAACACGTATAACAAGAAATCGATATTGCTTTTTTCTCATAATGAACACAAAAATATTATTATAAAAAAAAGCTATAAAAAATGTGTAATAGTATGCGAGATTAATTGTTGAATGATTGTTCTGCAACCTAAACTCCTAATCTATTCAATTTCTTTGCTACATAAGATCATAACAATTTTATAAAATTGTTTAATACTAAAACTTAATCTATTTGTTTTCACGTCAAATGAGATACGACTTTAGCAACATGGATTAATTTTGACCATATAATCCTAAAAAACCCTTACTTTGACATAATTTAGTGGCAAATTAGTAATACACTAATGCACATCATATTTTATATTTTAAATTTAAAAATGAACTACTTAAAAACTCTTACTTTGACATCTTTTTAATGGCAAATTAGTAATATACTAATGTCCATCATATCTTATATTTTTAATTAACAACTAATATTTAATCAATTACATACAAATACATGAACAAATCATTCCACACTCCTAAAATCAACTACAATATGTTGACACCATTATTTCTCACGAATTTGTTTTCTTCCACATATCTCTAAACTGTTTGATAGGATATAAAATAATTTATTATTGTGTGACTTCAATTATCATTATTTATTATTGTGTGAATTTCTATTTAGTTTTTTTTCGTGTCATATTTTAACAGTTGGAAAAAATGTCACTGGAATTGTAAAAAATTTCAATAGAAGTTCTACTCAAAATTTACCCGCAATTAGGGGCGAGCATGGGTCGGTACGGTTCATAGATTGAGTAATCTCCGAAACCGTACCAAAATTCAGAGATCACGAAATTCGATCTTCAGAACCGTACCAAAAATTCGGGACGATTCGGTTTGGAGAAGGGAAATGAGATAACATTAGCTATGTTAATTAAAAAGACAAATAAATGAGTTGTACGTTAAACTATTATTCAATTACTACTTGAAAAGAAACCCTATAATGGTGGTACCATGTATGTATTCAGTGATTATGAAAATGACTTACTTAATATTTTATCAAAAGACTAGAAAAATTTCTAAAAATTTGTAATGCATAATGTATATTTTAATCATGACTCAATAATAATAAACTTTACAAATGACTAAGAGTATTGTAATATAATAAAATTCTAATTCTTTTTCTATCAAATATTTTAACAAATGATATGCCTTTCAATATTTTCTCATTATTTTGTTTGTTTTGTTTTGTCATTGTTGGTGAATAAAGAAATGATCTTTATCTTAAATTTTATAATCGTTTTGTATGATGAATAATGTTGGACAATAAAAGCATTACAGAAGTTATTAGACACACAAATATTGCATATTCAAACGAATATCAAAGATATTATAATAAACAATTTTGAAATCATTGCAACAACCATGATGGTCAATGATTTTCAAATAATAGATTATGTTGTTCGTCTATATTCTAAATAAATAACATGAAAATGAAATTGGAGTATCAAAACAGTTTTGAATGTTTGAATGATGTTATCACTTTTTATAGAAATATTTATAAATCTCATTAGTATATTGTGCTCGAACATATGTGCAATTACTTTAGAAGTATTTTCAGGTAATGTGTGATGATTTCAAAAAATAATTTAGCACCTCGGGAGAAATACATGTAACCAAGATTTTGGAACGTGAACTTTTATTTGGAGATAATATTCATTCCCACCTCGTGGGGCGATGCATCAACGTGGTAGACACCAATATGTATAGAGACAGAGGAGTGTAGTAGTTTATACAATGATAAAAAAATATCAACAATTTAAATTTTAATGACGCAGTTAGTTATTTCCTAGAGATATTTATGCATTGTTAGTAGAAATACCTTATTATAAAGATTAAACAATCATGAAGTTTACCTATATGTTGGGTCAGAATGTTTTTTAAGTGTTTGAATAAAATTAGTATTTTGCCAAATGAATTAAGAGAAATTTTGCAATAGTATTGATGTTTTGGACTCCGGTGAGTATGAATGTTTCTTTATGAGAACGTCAAAATCAAATTGAGAGAAAATCTTAGTGCTTTTTTTATTACACATTTGTTTTTTTATATATTTTTGTTGGGGTTGTAAAACGTTATATTTCACTCTTTTATATCAGGACATCATTACGTTAATCCTAAATAAAAAAAATCAAATATGAGTTCATTTGTTTTATATTTTATTTCATTCTTGCAATGATATGTTTAATGAATAAATTAATTTATTTTACAAACTTACTCGACCAAAATTATTGGACACCACGTGCACTTTACTATTAAACACCTGTGTAGCGTAGCAGGGTGTGAAAACTAGTAGGTATCTCGCTTATCTTGCTCCTCGGTTACATTCCTCGTTTATTTTTCTCTCCGTCTTTCACTGGATAAGCTCCAGCTGATATCCATGGCGTGTTCCTCTGCGCTACACCTGAATTCCTTCCCATTGACCTCGAACAAACCACTCTCTGCTTCTTCAGCTCGCCCTAACTCTACGTTTTGGCCGTATTCTAACGGCACGAACCGTATGATAGACCCGCTCTCTGTATCTGCATCTCTCGGCTCCAATTGCGTTGGCGCCACCGACGTTGAGACCACAAAAATCGATTGTCCTACGCTAACTCTACGGGAGCTATGTCGAGGTCACGTGCCGGAGCACATTATGCACCGGCAAGTTATTTGCTTTCCTTGGTTGATTTTAGGTTAAGATTAGGATAGGTTTGGAATGTTTTTAATTTGATGTGATGGGTTATGTTAAACTTTTGGTTTACATAAAAGTGTGTTCTTTGTGTGATTCTCTTTCGTTTGATTTAGACGTCTGAAGTTGCAGGGCGGAGGAAATTGGCTACATCACGCCGACTAGTGTGCAGAAAGAAGCGCTGCCGGTGTTGTTCTCCGGCCGTGACTGTGTGATTCAAGCGCAGGTCCAATGCAGATAAATTGTTCGTTTGAATTGTAAATCTTTATGTTTTTTGGATTGGAAAAACTGTTTTTTGAAGTTGGGCACACATTTTGGACCGTGGGTTTTTTTCTGGAGTGTGAATATTTGAGGGAAGTTCGTTTTGTTTTGTTTTTTTTTTTTTTTTTTTTTTTTTTTTAATAGCTTTGAGAAACAAGAACAAGCACTCATACACTTGGGAAATGCAATTTTTAGACAGTTCATTGTTATTCATAAATTACTTGTATATGAAGTGCAAACGAGCAATTTATAGTTGATGGAACTGAGTCTGTGATGTACGTTCTTGTGTTCCATGATACATTTACATATTCGTCGATTATGCAGTAATCATTTAAAGTACACATGTTCATATTTGGGTGATTGTTGGTGTGAAAAACTGGACATGTCGCAGGTTAGGGAATTGATGAAGTTTCCCCTTTGCCGGATGTGAAACATCATGATAGTGAAGAGAACAGTGTAAAAAAAAAAAAGAAAGAGAAGAGAAATGCGAGAAATAAGAAAAGGAGAACTGTTAAAATGTGTTTGGTTGTTATTTTCTCAATCTACCACCAGAGGCATCAATTAAAACTGAAAGAGACATATGACCTTTTGTTCATCTTTTTGGTTCTTTAGACAGGTTCAGGAAAGACCCTTGCGTACCTACTTTTAATACTCTCTGTTGTCAATGCTCGAAGGTCGGCGGTCCAGGCCCTAATCGTTGTTCCCACACGAGAACTCGGCATGCAAGTAGGAATTTATTCCTTCTCTAATTAACATATACAATTATCATAAATTGAAATTGGCATATTTGCTTTTCCGCCACAAGGAAGGTCACGAAAGTTGCACGTACATTGGCTGCAAGATCACTGGAACTTGAATCTGAACAGAAGGCGTGTTCAGTCATGGCGCTTTTAGATGGTGGAACATTGAGAAGACATAAGAGCTGGTTAAAGGTAAAAGAATTGAAATTGTATTAATTCCCATTATTGGAAGTGCTTCTATGACTTATCATGATGCTGTGTGAGTGATTATGATTCCTGGTGTTAACTTGATCCTGGTAATAGCACGTGTAAATTGTCCTGAGGATTAGAAGATGATGCTTTATACATGTTCTTGTCAATGTGGCCAGCAACTAAAATGCTTTATTGAATTCCTTCTCATTTTTTCCTTTTATTTTAGTAATATTTCTAAATATGATTCCTAAATTATGTAGCTCTTCAGTTACCGTGTAACTAATGTAATTAGAGCTTGTAAAACACTTGTATTGGCAGGCAGAACCCCCAGCTATAGTAATTGCTACTTTGAAGTGTCTCTGCCAAATGCTAGACAGGCGAACTCTAAAGTTGGACAGCATGCGTGTCTTGGTAATAGACGAGGTAAGAAAAATGGATTGACTTTTTGGTCTCTGTACTTTTAATAAATTGTATTGAGTGAAATAATCCAATAACAATTCTCAACTTATGGACAAATATATTTATTTCAAAACAAAATTGTGCTTCTTCCAATGGTTAGTATACCCTTCTAAATGATTGTATCATAGGAATTCTTAAAAATGTGAGTGCTATATGTTACATCTACCAACGAATTGAGTTGAATTATTGATCTTCAGGTTCTTTAGTCTTGTCTGATTCTTGTAACTTCTCTATGAAGGAAAAAATTATAAAGTTTAATCAGTGCTTTAGTGGGTGCAGTTTCCTATTATTTTGTTCTTGCCATTAACGTTTTCATTCATTATGTTCTGTGTGGTCCATAATATGATGCCTAATTCATAGGTTGATTTTATGTTCTATTCTTCCAAAGAAGTTAGCTCTTTGAGGAAGCTCTTGACGAGCTTCTCGTCGATCCAAAAGCGGCAAACCATATTTGCTAGTGCATCAATCCCACAGCATAGACGATTTCTG